TCATGAACTTTTTCCCCTCTTTTGTTTAGCTTACTTATTTAAAGAAGGGCCAGACTTTTGGTGCCAATTCAACCAACTTCACAAAAATAGTCACTCATGCAAGATGAAACCCAAGTGCTAGCAAAATTGCAATGCATGTCTCCTCTAATTATTGATGTAAAATGGTAGTTTTAAATTATCAAACACATCGTCTAATGCTTGTAAACATGAAGCAGTCATAAATAAAATAGAAAAGTGTTTTTTAAATCCATGTGTAGAAAAAAAAAAAGAATTTATAAAATTATTTAAATACATTTAATCAATTATTTATGTGTTTTGATTCAATAATAATATTAATTAAATCTTTTCACAAAATTTTTACCCTTTTTTGTAGATATCAACATGAAAAAATGTGCATTTTCTAAATAAAAATAGTAATTTATGACATGTTACTTTTTTTAAGTTGTGGAAGAAAATTATTTTATTAAATCATAAAGTATTATTCAAGTTGATTTATATAAAGGTTAAATGCTAAATTTGGTCCCTCAATTTTAGTGAGTTGCACATTTTTGGTCCCTCAACAATTTTTTGCACTTTTTTGATCCCTTAACTATACAAAATGCACTCCGTTAATCCTTTTATCAATTTGGGCTGTTAACTCGGCCACATGGCATTTTTAATATTTTTTTGATGACATAGCGAGTACAACTTAAAAAGATGCTTATCTGGACTTTTTTTTTTTTTTATGACATGTCATCTTCTTCACGCCAAACCCCTCCAATGAATTCCAGTTGCCTGCAAACTGGTCTCTCATCTTCACCGTCTGCAAAATCGATCTTAAACCATTTCTTCTTATTCTCTGAATGCTCTATCATCTCCACTCCATCTGCAAAATCGATCTTAACCCATTTCTTCTTTTTCCGTGAATGCTCTCTCATCTCCACTCCATCTACAAAACCGATCTTAACCCACCCATTTCTTCTTCTTCTCTTTTCTCGAGGAAACTTGAGCTACTGGGTTTCATTGAAACCTCAAACCTGGCAAATCTTACCAAATCAAAATAACCCTTCAATAAACAATACCAATCAAACTCTAATCGAATTTCAACAAAAATACAATCAAACTTTAATCAAATTCCAAAAAAAATGCAATCAAATTATAAATCAATCTCCAAATATATTAACAACTGGAAATGGAAATCGAAAGAAGAACGAGAAAACAAGAACCAAGCTTTCCCAGCAAAGCTGGGTTCGTCGAAACCAAGATCTGTTGGGTTCAGATGAACCTAGCCTTGGCTAGTCGACGAACCCAGCAATGCTGGGTTTCCACCGAACTCGAAAGAAAGAAAGAGAAAAAAAGAAGGGGAAGAAGAGGGATTGGGAGGGTGACGGTGAGGATGAGGGTAATAAGGTAATTTTATATGTTTTTAATTAAAATATGTATATTAATCTATGTGGCATATTTATTTATTTATATAACATAATTATAATATATATTAGTGCCACATCATCATCAAAAAAATTAAAAAACAATGCCACATGAAATTATTTAACTGTCACATTATATTTAAGGTTAAATGCTAAATTTGGTCCCTTAACTTTAAGAAATGCACATTTTTTATCCCTCAACAATTTTTTGCACTTTTTTGATCCCTCAACTATACGAAATGCACTCCGTTAGTCCTTCTGTCAATTTGGGCCGTTAAGTCCGCCATGTGGCATTTTTTATGTTTTTTTTTATGACATGGCAAAAATAACATTAAAAAATGCTGATTTGGAATTTATTTTGATGACGTGTTCGGTGCCATCTCATAAATTAAATTTATTGAGGATTTATATTTTTAATAAAAAATAAAAAAGCTCGACTCATCTTCTTCCTTTTTTTTTTTT